CTTGTCTGCCCTGACTTAGCCAGCTTTTTTTTTAGGATGAGGCCAAATCTCCTGAAACAAGGAGATCCCAGGGTATCTGCATCACCTGTAAGACACCTCCTCCTCTGGTCTGCTTTGAACCCATTACCTGACAGCTTCATTAGATGTCCATTGTCTAGACAAGAAGAACACTTACATGAGTGTAAACGTCATTTCCACACACGGGGAATGTAATTTATCCCTGTTTGAGTATCACTCACTCTGCCAAAGAAGCCCAAGCTTGGTTCAGCTCTGTGTTCACTTTGACCCCTCCACTGCTTTGGAGTTGGGGCACTACCCCCATGCCTTCCAGGATCACTCTTTGTGGTGGCCCTCAAGTGCTGGGGTGAGGTGTGGGTTCTGCCACGCTCCAAATTGGCTTGGGAAGGAAATGGCCCAGCTCAGCTCTGCTATTTACTTTAATTAGATATAAAATCAGCACCCCTTCAAGGCTCTGAAGGCAGGTTACCCATCAGTCCTGACCCAATGTGTCCCTGCTATTGCAAGCGTGGATCGGCTGCACGGCGGGAGCTTTGCTTTGTCAATAAATCCCAGACACAATGGGCTGCAGGAAAGGGGAAATGATCCAAGGAGCTGGGGCTGATGTGGAGGCAGATTCTGCTCTCCTAGGGCAGCCAATTGCCTGGATCAGGCCTACAACTTTCATTTCACAAATGTGCAATCTTTAGCTCCTTTTACGTGTCCCGGGGCAGTCTCATAGACACCACCTGAAGTATATGAGAGCCTGGCTGATTATGGGTCTGCTCCAAAGCCCTCTGAAGTCAGTGAGAGTCTTTCCCCTGACTTCACTGTGTTTGGGGCAGGCCCTGGATGACTATCCCTCAGGTTAGACAGTTTAATCATCCATTCAGCAGTACACAAAGCAGATCACATACACTTTTAGCCTGCATTGTATAGTGTTATGAAACGAGAAGATTATTTGATATGATTCAGAGATAGCTCAGGTATAAGGTAAAAAAAAAAAAATAAAAATAACACCTTTGATGTTTTACATTACACTTCAGTTATTCCTTGAGGGGCAAATTCTCGTCACCTTACCCAGGTGAATATTGCGCTCAGTAATTTTGGTCAAAAACATTCCATCAACTTTCTTTTTAATAGAAAATGTTGAGGGGGGGAACAGGGGCAGAAATTCAGCTTGATGGAGATTTCTGCCAAACAGGACAAAAAAGAAAGGCAAATCCATGTTTTCCTTCTTTCAGCAATCAGGGGAAAAAAAATGTAATAAAAATTAGTTTTGAAGGGATTTTCTAACAAGGCAGTAAAACTAGTCTTTTTACTCTCCAAAAGCTAAGGAGAAATAACAATTTCCCAAAGATTGCAGTCTCCATCTGACACAATTATTTCTAGCTGAGGTGTCAGCCATTCATGGACTGTCAGCCAGACCTGATTCCCATCTTGACTCTCTTTGGTCAAGCTACAAAATGAGTCTTTTTCCCTCTTATTTTGTGTGCCATCAGAACCAGACTGACAGGACCAGTTTCCATTTTTGAGCTGGGCAGAATTTAGGTACATGGCACTCAGAGCCAGGTGAGATCTGCAGGGTTCGTAGGGCCTTATCTCAGGAAGTCTGATGAAGTTTTTTTTTATCTCTGGAAATACAGAGAGGGAAAGGGCAGGGATACTTGTATTTTCCTAGAACATTGTTGTATCATTCGAACTATTCCTAAAAAATTTTGGGAAAAACCACCTTTGATCAGCATTAAAAAAAAAAAAAAAAAAAAAAAAAAAGGCAATAAAACCTTCTTTACAGGCACAACACACTGTGGCCAAATTCCACGGACTTGGTGAGCGACAGGGCAAATCAAAGGCTCCACCTTCAGAGGAGAAGCAAACCACAATCCATGGCCAGTGGCAGTAATTGAAGCCCCACTTCTAAAGGAGTTGGCGGGCGATGAAACCCAGCGCGGATGGCTCTGTTCTGCCTCTGGAATCCCCTCCCACCGCCCCGCAACGCCGCTGCTGCTGGGGCTGGGGGGTTTAACTTTACTGGCACCAGGGCTGCCTTTGTTGATGGGAGCTGGGTCTCCTCTAGGGGACTGGGCTGATCCAGCTGTGCTGGCAGAGCCTTTGTACTGCGGAGCAGCTCAAGTGCAGACCTGCAGTGGGTGCCTGCCCCAGCCCCTGCTGGCAGCTCCATAAGGCCAGCGCCGAGCAGAGTTAAACGACCCCGTGCTGGAGAAGAGCCACACGTAGGAGCCAGCAAGCATCTGTGTTACTGATCCAACGCATCTCTGGAAATGCCTCTGGACCGCGCTTCTCTTCGGGCGGGGAGTGCCTTTTTTAGGAGCTGTGTGTGCTGGGAGCGGTGCGGGGGTAGCGGGCAGCTGGGTTTGCAGGCATCAGCACAAGCGTGGTTTCACGGAGAGTGCCACAGCTGGGGAGACACCTCTCCGAGTGCTTCAAAAGAGTGGAGAAAACGAGCAAAGATGAGATTTCTTGTCATCTCTTGTCATCATTGCTTAACTTTAGTGACCAGCCGCTGGGATCCGTGGGCTACCTGCTAATCTGCGTGAAATCATTGCTCCCCTAAAGCCAGACGTTCTGTGAAGAACATATTTTATGGGGTAATCCCCAAGGCTGCCAGAGCAGAGGGGATGAAGGTCTGAGGTTTGAGCCTTTTTCCCAAGGAAGGACAATTCTCGGCTGACTTCCCTGGGAGTGGGCTATGCCCGGGGCTTCTGGGCCATCATCTGACCCGGGCTGGGGAGAGGCTCATTGTCATGGAGAACTGCCCGATCCAGGCATGGCCTTGGCATTTATAGGGGAGTGGGGACTCTCAGGGTGGGACAGCAGGCTAATTGCCTTTGTCTTCCCCCTCCTTCAATCGGGGAGTCTCAGTAAATCCCTAAACCCATGACAAAAGCCCTGCTGCTTTTAAGTGCCTTTCATTAAAATCAATCCTCTTGCCCTCTCTCTCCCAAGATTTGCTAAAAAGAAGTCTCTGTCAGTGGCAGGAGGAAACCTAAAAGGCTGCATTAGCTCATTCACTGTCCCCTCTGCAGTGTGCAGGGTGCCTATTTGCTGAAATCTCCTCTCGAGTGTCCCTTGAGCACTCCAGGGGCAGCTCCTCTGCAGGAGGGGCCACATTCCCTGGTTCCAGCTAAGGATATGCTTTCCCTGGAGAAAGCAGGGTTTGGTGCCTGTGGCTGGACAGGTGCACTGGGGACAGTCAGACCTGCCAAAGCCTTTCTTGAACCCACCACCATCCCTCAGGACCAGGGCTGGAGCACTGTGCTGGGTGAGCCCTTATCTGATTGTGCTCTGGCAGGTTCTGGCTATGCCCCTGCCAACTGAAGTGGTACAAAGCTTGTTGAGCCATGGGATATTGCTGAGGACATACTGCCAGGTGCTAGCCACCCTCCAATACAAATTTGTCAGATTTAGGATCCTCAGGAGCAGAAGTTTATGGGTATTGTGCAGAAACATAGAGCTGATGGAAGTGGCAACGTGAATTTGCCATTGGTTCTGCATCCTCAAACATTTAGGGGTAATGCCTGCAGTAACACAGCTGATGGAAGAGGGTAAATTAAAAAAATCTGAGTGGAAGAACACGAGCTGGACACACACGAGTGTCCTGCATTGGCTCAACACTTGCTAAGGTCTGAGAGCAGGCTGGCAGAGGGGAGGAAGGATTGAAGTGGTCACTTAGATACTCAGTAGTAGGCAGTTCCTGACTTACTCATCTTTCAGAGGTATTGGGAATCCCTCCACTGCTCTTAGCTCAAACTCAGCAGTCCAAAATCCAAATAAAGCTATTCCACACCTGGTGGGATTGAAACAGGACAAGACTGACCACCTTGTCCTTTTCCTAGTGTTAGTCTGCCCTTTCCCTCCCATTATCGCTGCCACTGCATCACCTGAGATGGAATTAAAATCAGGAGGAATTACCCCTAAAGCCAGGAAGATGGTATCTGTGCTGGGAAGGGGCGAGGGGGAGGGGGGAGAGGCAGGACTTGCCACCCGCCCACTGGTCCCAGCGATTGCACAAAGGGTGGCTGGCCAGTGCCGGGGCAAGCGCTTGGTCCCGATCCCAAGCACATGGAAGTCATCTGATGTTTCGTCATGGCTTCATTATATTTTGGATCAGGCCAGCGGTTTGTCTTGCATCACTGCCCTGTATGTTCTGCAGGTAGCCAGTGCAGAGGCGCTGCCAACTATTTTGTTTTCTGAATACCCTGCAGGGACGGCCTTAAATCACGGCAGATGCCTGTATGTTAAACAGCTGCAATTTCATGCTTAACTTCGTTGTGCATGCTACATTCCTCATGAAGACACTTACATTTATGCTCTAAGTGCACACAGCCCCCAACACACAGGAATGAGGGGTTGATTGTTTAGCCTAATGGCTACTGGATGATGGATTCTCCTTTCCCAGCAGCAGGAAATCAGGGAGGATTCCCAGAGGCACTGTCTGGCCCTCTAGCTGACTGGTGCCACCTCTTCACTGGCCTGACAGCGTGAGCAGGTGCAATCCCATTAGAGAAACCCATTTGCAAAGCGGACTGAGGCTCCTGCTAGCTGGCACCGCGCTGGAACCAGTCCCGCCTCTCTTACTGTTGCAAGTTTGTATTTTTTTTTTTACTAAACCGGGCTGAAAAAGGCCAGTTGTGATTCAGCTCGTTGAGAAAAACAAACAAAAACAAAAGAGTGCCCACTCTGCACAGCGAGACTCCAAGCAACTGCAAACCAGCTCAGATGGGTCTCCTTCAGGAGCAAAGCAGGTTTCTCTCCACCCTACTGTGCAGATGAAATCGTTCATAAATTTTTACACCTTTTATCCCAAATGATGGGAAAGAAAAACCTCTCTCCCGCAGAGATTTAAAATACTTCAAACATACTGATGAACAACCAGGCCAATATATAACAATTGTTAATATTTTATTCCCAACAGTTGTTCATCCTGAAAAGTTTCAGTAATACACTAAAAACGAAAACAAAACCAACAAAAAATTCAAAACAAATAAAACAACAAAAAGGGGGGAAAAAAAGTAAAATAAACTTTAACAAAGTTTAAAACACATTATAAATAAGTACAGCTCCAGAGCATAATTTACAAATATAAAACCACATAGAAACGTATGTACAGAAGAGTTACATTACGTACAAATATGTATAAAAATACCCCAGTGTTTATTCTTGTGCTAAAGCTGCATGGCTAGAGTTATCTTTGGTACTAAGCTCGGGGAAAGAAGATTGTTTTACAGGACACAGCCCTGCTGTACAATATGCCAGACACAGGAAGACCCTCCGTGGGTTTGGGGAGGTTTTGGGGTGGGTGTTTACACAGGGCATCCCCCCATGCACTGCATATTGCAGATCAGGGCACAAGCAAGGGCTTACAGAGGCAATTGCTGGCAGAAGAGTTTTTTTTAATACATTGTACAAGGCACTTCATAAGAAATCTCTTCATTTTTTTTTTTCCTGCTCTCTTCTAAGACTCACTGGATGTCTACACTTGGCTCTTGCCAATACCACTTTATGGCTATGGTTTTTTAACTTCTTGCTCTACATTCAGGATTAGAAACCTCTGAAATTCAGTTCACGCCTGCAGAATTTAGATGGCAAACCATCTACATGACCTAATGTTTTCCTGTATGGGGAGAAAACTTTGCATCTGCCTTCTGCTGGTGCTTAAGGGGTGTTCTTATTTTGAAAGGTGAGAAGATGAGTCTTCCTGGAGGAACTCCTGGGAAGTGTCCACGTTGAAATGCTGTTTGCAAAAGCGCACGGTCCAACTCCCATTCCCTTTGCAGCGCTGGCCGGCTGGCTGCCCCAGCACCCTACACCTCTGTCCCATCCCGTGTGTAGATGAGGCTGTTAACTGTGAAGTTGTAGTAGTGGTTGTACTGGGCTCCCTGGCTGCTGCTGCTGGGGTGGAAGGAGCTGTAGTAGGCGGGGGAAGGTCCCGCGACCCGCTGCAGCTGGTCTGGGGAAGGCACCTCCTGAGAAGAGCTGCTGGAAGGGGTGAAAGTGCCACTGCTCAGCTGTCCAGCAGAGAAGTTCCTGTGGTGCAGGTCACTGCTGAGACCCCCCGTCAGCCGGCCGCCTCCGCCGCTCAGGGAGCTCATGCCGCTGAAGAAGGTGCTGAGACAGCTAGGGGTGGATGAAATGATACTGGAGGGAGAGGAGCTTTTGGGATGGTCCCTGGCAGAGGGTGAGGGGTCCAGCTCTGGGGGTGGGCTGTTTCCACACGGTTTGCCTGTGGCTGGGATGGGTCGCTCTTCCTCGGCCTTCAGGCCCCCCAGAGAGGAGGCCGCAGAGGCGGTGGCGGGGGCGTTGGGCTCAGAGCGCCGCTTGCGTTTGCGACGGAAGTTCCCATTGTCAAACATCTTCTCACAGTTGGGATCTAAGGTCCAGTAGTTCCCTTTCCCTGGTGGAAAACAGGAGACACAAGAGAGAACGTCAACTTCTGCGACAGCATCCATGTCTTGTCCACCTGGCACAGAACCCACACCTCTCCTGCACCTGTTC